ATCAACAGCTTCTACATGAAGCCTCTTTCGATACCCCGAATATGGTAAAAAAAAACATAAGAATAAGACATCTGAAACTGTTCGCTGTGATTAACTTTAACAGTTGTTCCCTGTATGCAGTAACAAATGTATACCTGCAGTAAAGGACATGATACCAAACAATGTGTTTGAGCAATTCCAGTATTCCACATTTTGGAGTAGACTTACAGCCTTTCTGATGATGACAATTAAAATGTGAAGTGGACTTCACAATTGGCTGCCTCAGTTTCCTTAGTGATAATCTTATTGTCACGTGTCGGCGGTGTGATTATAGACGGGATTTGGATTGGTGAATGGTTCTGTTGGAAACTTATACACACGACTCGGAACTACAACTACTTGCAACGTACACACTTTACAAAACACTAGAGCACACGCTATGTCTTCTCAGTCTGATTCCACTAGTCGTTTCCTGGTAACGGATCTTAATAATGGAGATTCTTCAGATTCTCTGGTCACTCTGTTGCCCTCTGACAAGCACTCCACAACTCGTAATTCCACGTAATTAATAACGCCATCTCTTGCAGAACTCTGTTCAACTCATTGCTCCAACTCCCCTTGTTATGATTTCTCTGCACGGACCACATAGACAACGTTTTTCTATTGTTATGTTTGTGCCCGTTGCTACAGGAACTCTTTTACCGAGCTGCTGCCCAGAAACGGGCTACGTAGCCCCGTTTATTAAGAATCTACTACCCTATCACTGGGCCTTGTTTCGCGACCGTTACACAGCAACGGGCCTACACACTACATTATGAAACATGACGTAATTATAGTAAGAATTATAATTGAACTTTTCAACGATTTTCATTGTTACATCTTTTGCACTAAGAGTGTGAAGTGTTAGTTTGCGTTATGGGGAGGTTGCGTCCCTTTTTACATATTGTGTCCTCAAAACTACGAATGCTTTCGGACGAAATCGTGGATTTACACTGAAAATTGGCAGTTTGATTTAATTTTATTCCGTACCGGTCCGGCATAACCATAGTTCAGACCAGTCTTAATTGGAATTTTATCGTCTTCTTGAAGAATGGTTTGTCGTACATGTAGGTAATTTCGTTCACAATACTCAATGTAGATACTACTATGGGAGTCGGTCTAGAAACCCGAAATTAACAGCCGTGGGGATCCATTGCGCTGACCACGCGACACCCTCTGTCCGCCAAAGTTGGCACTAACTTCGCCAGCAAGCGATGGTCGCTCGGTCGTTATAGCTCGCTTGCGGACTAAAGCCAGGGAGTTACTATGGGAGTTAAACCGCTTTGTTCCCCTTGTCCACTGGATTGGAGGCTGGACGGACAAACTTCGTGCCATGTCTCAATATTATTAAGTTATTACAGGCAAAATGTTAGTTTATGGACAGTAAGTTATAAACCTACCTGTGCTATGTGCGTTACCAAATGTTGTCTATGATTTCTGCCACTAGGGTTGAACAAAATATACTAACACACGACAGAAATAACAAAAAATATTAGTTGCCATTAGGAGCATCAACAACACTGATTAACCTCTTTGCCTGTTCCGGTCACAGTAATTCTTAATAATTGTGCTCAATACATGCCTATCTCTCTGCAATCTCTGGAATTTTCTACTCTTTGCTTTATACTGATAGAACACTTTAGGGACACTGTTTTAAAGTTTTGTTTCCAGAACTTGTAGTCATTACCTTTGATAGTATTCAGTTATAGCATTGGTATCTATGTTGTGTCCCATTCTTGCCTAATATCTTCGTTTCATGTAAGATATAAAACGATTTATATCTGCAATAAATTGGCATCGTGGCCATAGTGGATTGCAAATTCTCAAAAAGGACATTTGGACCCTACCTCTTGTTTTAATCAGAATTCCCTCAGCTCACTTTCCTTTGCAATCAAAGATACTTAGAATGCTTCTGATATCGATTTCATACATTTTGAAGTTCAGTTGTTGTCCCTGTTATGACGATATAATAACGCATTCTAAATCAGTACAAGTCCGTTGACAGACCTCAACTTCTCGAGTTTATACAGGCAGAAGGCAAGTTCATTTTGTCGGTTACCTTACTACCTCCGAAATGGCATTAGGAAGGTCTGGGGACATTGCTGAAATGGTGGTTTGCGTGTCACAAGATAACGTAGAACTCGTTGTTTGTCCTTGGCGGGTGTTGGCTAATGTCACCACATACACTGACAGGTCTTCCTTGTTGTTGTACGCAATTTACGCTCTCCGACTAGCTTATTGCACGTACCTAATCATAGCTGCCGTCGTGGAGCGCTTCAGCGTAGAATTTTGCTTTAATTGCATGTAGCTTCAAAGGCCGACCGGTTCCGCGGTGCAAGCCTATTCATGCTCGTAACGTTAGGCAAGACACCGGACTCACATTCAAATGGTTCCAGGTTTGGTCCCCAAGCAGAACAGGACGTGAAATCTTCTGTGCATAAGCCTTAGGGCTCTGTAATGTGGAGTGTTTGGTACTGGAACTGTTTAATGATTCTTCTTCCAGTGCATGGGATATATAGCTTATGATTGTGACTGTTTTAAGTCACTATCCCTGCATTTATCTGGAGTAGCTAATGAAACTGTGAGAAACCTCAGTATATCAAATACTGGTTCATGATTTGAAACCGAGCCCCCTGTTTACGAATTCTTCGAGAGACTACAGGCCACGGAGTTTGTTTTGTTTGTTAACCATGATGGGATCAGCGATGTACTTTTGTTGTTTCCGTCATGATCGTGTATTTTTACCGTACCAGAACATGAAAAGTAATTTGGACAGAGCAACGCTGTGTTGTCACAGTTTCACAGGGTTCCCTGCCACCAGAAAATTTGGTCGGTGTAAATAAAATCCTGTGATCCAGTGCGCAGACACATCTCTTAACCTGATTCTCTTTCCCGGTATATTTTCATGCGTGACGTCAGCCGTCTCTTGACAGTTCTTACGTGGCAGTCTGCACCTTCATGCAGCCCGAACTAAAAGACTGGAAACTGGAAACCGAGAGGCCGCGAAAGTTGCGTTCATTCATCTGTTACATAAGGACGCTATCGGCTCAGACTTTACAGCATCGAATGGCAGGATGAGTGGTGAATACGAACTGGAGATGAAACGGGAGGAAACGATCTTGACCACAAAGGGGTTGTAGTCCCTACCGCGCCAGCACAGACCCGAAGGGTGTGACAAAAACCGAGAAAACCCTCAGCAGGATAGCCGGTCTTCTGGCCCGTATTTGAATCCGGGACTTTCCGAATATAAAGCTGAAGTCCTAACCATCCGACCGCTACATCCGGCTTGAAAGTGGATTTGAAGCCTGCGCTGAAGAATTGGAAGTTTTGTTTCGCTTTCCTTTTTTCGCATTTAAGAGCGACGCCTTCAGAAAAAAAAAGAGGCCGCTTCTTTGACTATCACAAGAACAAGATTTGGAAGAGTCGGAAAGCATTGTCTCATGCTTGTGTCACTTTTATCTCCACATTTTGCATGTTTAACATGTGAAACCCTGCGGATAGATCCTCAGGTATAGAATTTTTTTTCCTTGACACTACAGCCCCAGTGGGCCTAGGCCTACCTCCATGAACTTCTCCGTTCACTTCGGTTTTTCTAGATCTTACACATTCGGTAAGACTCCTTGGGCGGGTGATCAGCTCGTCGCAAGGCCTCTACCTGTAGACAAACACAGAAAAACGCACACACAAACTAAACATCTATGCCCTGAGTGAGATTCGAACCCACGATCCCTGTTCTCAAGCGAGCGAAGACAGTACATGCGTTAGACCGCTATATTATATTTAGGCATCCTGTTGTACTATACACTTTTATATGTAATAATACAAATGCAACAATTTATTTGGTTGTAGATCTTTGTCTTTTCTTCCTCTGGTGTAGAGGAAGAAATGAAAATTCTTGTCCTCACAAGGACTCGAACCCCGACTTCCTGGTCGTCCAGCCAGTAGCCAATCGCTATACCAACTGCGCTATCCCGGCGTGTCATTAAAATAAAGAACGCCTCTCTAATGAAGAGCATCGCACAGAAAGTGTTAAGCAGTCAATCAAACAGCGTCAGATCAATATGAAATGTGTATTCAAGCAGAGTGTCACCTGAAACAGATTCACCCTTAGTGTGGCTGTGTTGCAAATGCCAAATTTGCCTTTCCCCGTCTAACTTTGCGTTGTCGAGTGCGGATTGATGGATAGCTAGGAGTACTTTTGTTGTAAAAACGTGGTCTATAATTAGACTTGGTTGTCCTTGCCCAAAGACATCAGTTGGCACCTTGCTCTCTCGTCTGTACCCACGCGTCTTCCGTCCTCCATGCCAAATATAAACCGATCGCATTATTCCGCGGTCCTCGTGTTCCTCGAAACCGAAACGCAAATGCGATCCTCGTCAATTTCCCCATATTCGCAACATTGTACCAGCAACTCCAAATAAACCACGATCGGTTTTTCCAAACCCTTCAGTATCCATCATAAGACCGCCTCTGTGGTCTAGTCCATTCAGACTCGTGAGGATAATTGAGGAGTTATTTCAAGGAAATAGCGGTTCCGGTCTAGAAAACCGAAATTAACGGCCGTGTGGATTAGTTACGGTGACTTCGCGACAACCTGTATCCGCTAAAGTTGGAACTAACTTCGCCGAAAAGCGGCGGTCGCTCGGTCGGTATAGTTCGCTGGCGGGCTAAAGCCACGGAGTTTTTTTCAGAAACCATTATCACAATTCTCTTCTAAAGTATGTCAGCAGTGTAGTTGAAACGCCATCGTTAAATACACTGAGAAGCGACTTACCCCCGGATTCTTGAGAAACTGATATTCGTTCGGCTATTCCGGCAAATCCGAGAATTCGCTTTGATAGAGTGAGGAAAACTACTAAAACCGGTTCCCTGACAAGGTGTGGACTTAGAATCTCAGGAATTCCAATCCGTTGACCGCAACATTCAGCCTACATAAATGTGTGAAGATATCTGGATTCTTACGCCACTGTTTTGTGTTGCAGGCAAGGCAGCGAACAAGGAAGGTGGCCCTGAGGAAAAGAAAGAAGATGGCGAGCTGTGGTGTAACGTAGAGGCACAAGCAGCTTTTCTGGGACCCAACCTGTGGGACAAGACACTGCCTTATGATGCTGACCTCAAGGTGAGCATTCACAGTCCCCGACTTCCTAGAGCAGAGCTTCAGATGAAGCAAACTGTCTGTCTGAATTAACTCCATGGAGCTGAGCCCTTCTTGATAAACCGTCAGTTGTGCAGTTACTCAAGAACTTCGCAAAATTTCATGGAACCCGAAGGTTCATTACCCTGTTCACAAGAGCCCTCCACTGGTCCCTATATTGCCCGAAATCAATCCAATCCGTACCATCTCATACTATCTCGTTAAGATCCATTTTAATATTAATCCAGCCACATACATCTTGGTCTTCCTAGTTGTCTCTTTCCTTCTGGTTTTCCCACCAATATCCTATATGCATTAACCTTCACCCCATTTGTGTTACGTGCCCTGCCCATCTCATTCTCCTTGACTTGGTGATTCTAATTATGTCCATGATTTATTTCAACCGTCTTCCAGTGCATACACTCATCTATCTCACTCCTCTCTCTCGCACTACATGTTTCGGCACAAAAGTGCCATCTTCAGGTGCTTATTCGATTTACGTTAAACTAGTTCACTTCATGCCTTGCCGTCTTCATATTAAAATAACTAAAATATATATTTATCATATATATGATATATACGTATATGATATATATGATATACATATGCTTTCTTGAAGTCTATGAATAGCTGATGTACTGTCTCATCGTACTCCCATTTTTTCTCCAATATCTGACGAATGCGAAACTCAGATCTGCAGTTGATCTGTTATGTCGACACCCATACCGATGATCCCCAATAATTTCATCTAAATACGGACATAACCTTGAGAGAAGGAGACTGATGAAATTTTGTATTGAAGTTGATAGCAGTGATATCCGACGATAATTACTAGTCAGTTACATGACCTTTTTTCTGAATTGGTACAATAAAAATAAAATGTTACATTATTTCCAAATATGTTCTTTGTGATATGGCATCCTTTGTTTTCGTTTATGTCCATGTAGCCCTATCGCTGACATAAATCAGTTGCTACAAAATTAATCGCCCTAAATGGCATCACATGCCACAACCAGAATTTCTGCCCTTGCATTCATTAAATGTGCGGCATGTCGAATAAAGCAATTCAGATAATAATTTTTCACCTTAATTAAATACGAGAATGTGTTTCATTTTAAGTGCCACTGTTTTTACCACGAGAGCATCGACAGAGTTCTGTAGGTTACTTATGTAAAGTGAATATATTGAGCCCATACGGAAAGAAAATGAAATTTTCTTCTTGGCTGTTGCGAATGTAGATCCGAGATACGAAATGTCATCGAAATCCATGTATGTGACCCATATGGGCAGGTACTGTATGCACGCAGCGCATAAAAGCGAAAGTTGCTTTAGGGCCTGTGGTGGTCTGTCTGTGCTGTGGAGATTTCTACGTACTCGGATGTAATGAGAACAAAATTACAAACGTCATCCAAAAGAAAAGAGCTGACATTGTGGAACGTTTTGCAGAATCAGTAGTGTTCTCGGTAACATATGACCCATTAATTGCCCCTTTTTGTGAGATTAACGATGTTCATTGTGTTATAACATTTCTTATAATCGTTCAAAACATAACAAAAAGAAGTTAGGAAATTTTCAATTTTTTTTTAGGAATGTACGCATATCATAACAGGGCCATCGCGTTCGCTCCCGTTTGTTCAGGTATACCTAAAACCGTAACGCTTACGGAGAAAATTTGGTGTTAATATAATGTGTTTCATATTTCTTTGTAACTTTTATCGAAACCGTTTTCGCTTCTATGCAGTTACGCTCAAGAAGCGCATAGGAATGCAATAAGGCATCACGAAAAATATTTGATATTTCTATCTTATCTCAGTCGAAATTTGAATGTGTCAATAGATATTAGTTAAACCGACCAACAAAAATTTTCGTGAAAAAAAAAAGATCCAACCATTTTTAGTCCCGTAGTTGAACTGTGAAAAGAATTTTCTTTATTTTATTTATTATAGCCGTGGTTGAATGGGACCCGAAAACCGCGGTATACTTGCTTGATTCTTCATAGAAGTTGAGGTGTTGGGGAGGTTCTTGGTTCGACTCCTAACTTGTGAGATGGTGACAACAATAGGATTATTAAATGTAGGAACGTAATAATATGTTAAGATTATTTCTGTGAACACTACTTCCTCGCGGAATGCTTTCATTTTCATGTCGATAACTTTCGTGAAATTAGGTACGGTACGAAAACACGTGTGAAATTTCCACATGAAAAATTATGTGTGGTTTAAAAACATCAAAACAAGGACGTCACAAAAGGTATTTCAAATTATGTTTTCAAAGTAAGTGGAAACAAACTTTTTTCAGGTTGTGTGCCGGTCAATCTGCTTCTTGCGTTGACGTGTTGGTTTGCCGTTACCATTAAGGAATACACAGTTCTACAGATCAGCATTGGTGTTACAGGCTCACAGCACACATACAAATGCAGATTAGCATACAGAGAAATGAACAGAAACGCCATGACTGTCCGACTGTCTGTGTCTGTATTTCATCACCGAAACTCGTGAACGGGCGTCGATAGAATTTGATATTTATGCATATGTACCTATTCTTGTCAGGCAAGTTTGAGTTTCAGCTAAGTGTAAAAGTCTAACTGTGGTTTTCAGTAGCAACTGTGGCTGTTATTTTGAATAATGTCCATCATATTAAATTCCCTCACAACGCAACGTTTCAGAAACTGGATCTCTTTCCGAAGATTACGGTTTGACGAGCTGTAACGCCATGAAGTTCCGAGAGCCCGGCGTTTCGGAGTAACATATCACCTCCATCTTCATGGTCGATAAATAACTCAAGCAAGGAGCCAGCAGAAGCAGGTTGCTCGGCTTGCCGTTTTACACGACGTTGCAACCCAAAAGACGCTACTCGTCATAGTCACCGCCGTCCGAACCTCACATCCGACACCCACGTGACTGTTGCCTAGTTCATACGACCTTCACTTCCGCTTCGAGAGTTGTGGTTGCAATGGATCACATTTGACTTCTCTGAATTGTTACCAGCTGCAAAACTTGTAGACTTGGAGTGGAAATACGCCAGTTTGTGGCTTGTTTTATATTACAGAATCATACAGATCTGTAAATCTATATGTTCATGTAGATCATATATCATACAGGGAGCTGGGTGGCTTAATCAGTATGATCATATATCATACAGGGAGCTGGGTGGCTTAATCAGTATAACTATGAGCTGGACGGCCGGGGTTCAATTCCCGGAAGAGATTGTTCTCTGCTCCACAGCGTCCAGACCGGCCCTGGAACCCGCCCAACCTCCTATCCAATGTGTACCAGAGAATCTTTCCCCGGGATTAAAATGGCCGGGGTGTGAAGCGGACCACTCGCTTCCAACTAGTGCCGAGGTCAAGAAAATATGGATCTATACATCCACTCCACCATACGCCTTCATGGCGTAGTGCTTAATTAAGCACAGGGACAGTTGTACCTTTTCCTTTATCTATCTATCTATGGCTCTACAGCCCATGTGGACCTTGGCCGCTTCTTCAGTTTCTTAATCTATATACAGTCGGTAGGACTCCTTGGACGAGGGATCAGCCCGTCCCAGGGCCTCTACCTACACACAGAATGAACGCCTTGCGTGGGAATCGAGCCCAGGATCCCAGTGTTCGAGCGGGCGAAGACGGTTCATGCTTTACCCCACGCGGCCACTGTGATCGGCAACTTCACTCCGTATAGATCTAAAAAATTTCAAACATGCTCCGGCTTTACGTACACATACATTGACAGAGTCTTCAGGGGTATCACTAAGTCATGTTATTTCACTTCTTCGTACGTAGCCCGGAGACGGCTATTCGTGGCTTTCCATGGTCCCAGGCAGTACCTTAAAATGGAAAAGGGATACACTGTACCCTTCCGCATCGTTCGCAAATCGTCATTCACAACAGTCCTGCCATTGGACACCGTGTAGTTGACAAAATATCTTTGAAAACACGCAACAACGAAGGAAAAGAGGGAGCTCATATTTAATTTCTGCACCTTCAAGGGTTTTGTTTCATTTTCAGAGATAACGTCAGAAGAGGTCACGAAATTGTTGACAAAACCAAACAATAAACAATTTATCATCCCTCATTTGCACTGGTGACTTTAACCGGATGGTTAATGAGTACAGCGCTGAAGACGACGTAGAGCGTGAGACACTTTGCTCTGTGATCGATGCAGACATATAGAATTCATAAAGGAGCTGTTGAGGGCGGAAACCTGGTTTCAACGCTGAAGTTTTCAATGATCGCAGTCCAATTCAGACTCGGGGAAAAAGAGAATCCTTTGTATTTCTGTCCTTGGTCACGCCACCGACAAGTGTGTTCCTCTGTTTCCGTGGAATGTGTAGACTACACACTAGTGGCGAGGTGTGATGTCCTGCGGGTATCTCGTATTCTCTATTTGTGATTAATATGGCGCCTTTTCACCTGCGTGTATTATGTGACGATGACCGCCTCTCTGGTCTAGTGGTCAGAGTTCATGACTACAGATCCAGAGGTCCGGGTTCGATTCCCGGCGCTATCAGATTTTCTGAGAAGTGGTGGGTGTGGAACGGGGTCCGCTCAGCCTCGTAAGGATAATTGAGGAGCTATTTCAAGGAAATAGCTGCTCCGGTCTAGAAAACCGAGATCAACGCCCGAAGGGATTCGTTGCGCTTACCACGCGACACCCTCTATCTACTAAATTTGGCACTAACTTCGCCGACAAGCCACAATCGCTCGGTCGGTGTAGTTCGCTTGCAGACTAAAACCACAGAGTTTTTTTTTTGTATTATGTGACATTGAATGAATGATTGGGAATAATGAAGTGGAAGGAAGCGATAGTCAGCTGCTTAAAGTACTGTTAAGACACTTTCCCCGGAGGACTGAGAGAAACCATAAAGACGTCTATTATGATAGCCGTTCTGTCGGCCTCCACGATCACCGGACGCAGAAGCAGAAGCGCTGACCTCTAAGCAGTGACATTCGCTTCTCATTCTGCTGCTCTGAGGTTTATGACCTGCAG